ACGATTCTACCCCCATATTTTACCAACAGAGGGTACTCCAGGGTGTGTAATATACATACATATATATATATATATATATGCAAAGGTCTTAGGCCATTAGTATTTTCACCAACAAAAAAAAAAGTTTTAAGCTGGTTAATTCTATCTTTTGCTTTAGTGTGCCAGTAGGAAATATCAGTTTACATTTCCAAACATTCCTTTTGCCATTTCTTGTAATAATCCAGTGAGATTTTTGTATGCACAAGGAGTCTGACAACAGCCAGTGCTCCACACAGAGATCTGATCTCACCATCATCCAATCCATCTGGGATTACATGAAGAAACAGAAAAAAACTGAGACAAACTAAATCCAGAAGAACCGCGGCAACATCTCTAAGACACTTGAAGAAATCTTCCTATAGCTATTCAGCTACCTGAAAAACTATGCGCTAGTGCAGTGAATCTCAACCTTTTGGCGTACCGGACCCCAGTTCAATTCAGAACCATCCTCAAGGACCCCCAGAACACAATTGACTCATCTATGTATCATTTGTGTCTTTGTGAAGACCAAATACAGTCAAGTATAATTCAAGTTAGCTGACTTGTCCAGTATTTGGCCATATCATCAGCTATATTGGATTTTTCTTTCATGGGAACATGTCATGTCCACGGACCCCTGGTTGAGAAACACTGCGCTAGTGTACCTAGGACAAAAGCTGTCACACCAAATATTGATTTGATTTAGTTAATAGAAGTTAATTAATAAATAACATTTATTTATGACTTTACAGCATTTTTACACAAGTGCCTGTAGGTTTGGAGGTAGGTTTCTTCCGGTGTCTTGGAGATGTTGTGGCGGTTCTTCTGGATTTAGTCTGCCTCAGTTTTTTTTCTGTTTCTTCAAGTAATTCCAGATGGATTGGATGATGGTGAGATCAGATCTCTGTGTGGAGCACTGGCTGTTGTCAGACTCCTTGTGCATACAAAAAAATCTGATATGTATATAGTAACTTGCTAATACTGGTTTACTATTTCTTATCTATCTATGCATCTATCTATCTGTCTATTTATATATCTGTTTTTACTGATAGATTGTATTGCCTTCAAAACTTTAAAACTACTTCAAATGAGTTAAAACTGAAAACCCTCAAACTTTAAACTTTTAAAACTACTTCAAACTTTCTGGCTAGGCTTTTTCAAGCCAACTTAAAGTTTGTCTATAAACTTTACTATCTAGTTACAATTAATGGCAAAAGGAATCTTCTTAAACATGGTCATAATTTTCATGGGCTGTTGCACTTTTCATTGTAGCAATGTTGTGAAGCACCATGCATACTGTGGAACCTACTTCTGTGGGCCAGGTTACAGAGTTCAGTAAGGGAGTGAGATGTTGATGCAGTAACACATCTTCATTCAGTTGACACATAATGTCCCTATATATTTTACCAGTGGTGGGCCGTCAGGGCCAGCAAAGCCTTCTCTGCAGGCCTAAACACTATCAGAATCACTGATTTAGTTTAATATATTTTTCCATGAATGTGTATTAAATTATTTCCAATAGTCTATTCTCTTCATTTCATAGCTTTTCTCTTAGTTGCACTGCTTCCAGCAGTGTATGCTTATATTAGAGCTTTTATCCAATCATATTTCAGCAATCGTGTTGCCAGGGTCAAATAAATCTGCCTTAAGGCCTTCAGAATCAACAGTGCAGGCGACTGTTAGCTTAAATCAATGGCAATGAAACTGTTGCTTTAACCAATCAGATTTCGAGTTGGCAGCACCAGGGCCATCTAGCTGGCTTACGATAACGTCAGCATTTTCTCGTCCTTTGATTGGATGGTCAGCATACTAGCTAGCAAACAGCATCACTGTAAATCATTTTATTAAAACTTAGTAAAACTTTTATTACTGTTTCTCAGGTTTAGATTTTCAGTGCATTTTGAAAAAATATTTGCCTACTATATTTAGTCAATC